ATACTATATTTATAATTTTATATAATTATATATATAATTTTATATGCTTACTCACCAACTATAATTCTCCACCAGTTATAGAAATCTCTTTCAATATAATCAAGTGCATCATGTGTTTCATTAGTTTTTCTCTTCCTGAAGATTTTTTGCTCACTTGTTCTGGTCCTTGCTGAATTGAATCTTTTGTTTTCTGTATACATAATTTCTTCTTTTTTGCTGCATTCTCCTGTTGGGAATGGAGACATCTCCATCCGATCACCATTATTCGCAGATTCCATATTTCCAAATTTTTCTGCTTGCTAAATTTATTTTTAGCCCACAAACCAGTAATTGTGGGGCTCTCTTGGTCATTTGCAAATAGTGAGCACTTTGAGTCACTCATGGTGGTATGGTCAGCTGAGGTCTAGAAGGTGACACTGTCCCTTCTGTTTCAGCTTGTGTGGTAAGCAAGTGTCTTTTCAGTAAATTTGCAAATGTTTTATCTCTATCTTCTTACATTAAATTTTCACATTACAAAATGATGCAAATAATTTCAACCAAGACTGTCACATTTTAATTTTGTTTATTCTTTTACATTTTGCCTTTTCTAATGTCACATTTGACAGTGTTTGTTGTCACATTTTTGTGCCTTCTGTTGGGGATTTCTCTGCTTATAGCCCCCAAATCCAGTCCTGCAGTTCTATCCAGGGTTCCCAAGCCTGAGAGGCTACAGTGTGCTTTAGGAGAAAATATGCATGTCCGAGAAGCTGTGCTCTGGTCTGCAGTACATATGGCACACCCAGCAAAGGGAAAAGGGAATTCACTGAGCTACATGTGAGGATACTCCAAGGAGTGCCCAAGCGACATCTACAGTGCCAAGAAAAACACAGAAAAGTGGCAGAATTTGTGTGTTTCTGAGACAATGGCATCAAAAGTGTAGTGCATAGTGCTACCATGAAGTGAAAAGCCGAAGAAGTTCCCAGGCACATCACCAGTGTTGGAGAATGCTGAAAGTTTCTCAGCCTGTGTTCTACTATAAAGAAGTAATGTACAATTAGCTAATTTTAAGAAATACTCATTGTGACTAAAATATACAGGAAATGTTTCAATTTTTAAAATTGCTTACCATAAAAGACATTGTCATTAATCCCCTTCATGATGCTCCCCTCACCTTGGACTCACCCTATTGTTCTGGTAGCTGGGTGCCCAGGTAACTAGTTCAGTGTTATTTTTGTGGGTGCCTGTTAGGACCTTCCCAGGCAAGATCGGTATTCACATTGTAGGTTAAGTAAAGCACCCCCACCAGTGCGGATAAGCCTTATCTCATCCAGGGAGGGACTAATTAGAGTACAAAGGCAGAGGAAGGAGGAGGACATCTTTTGTCTCACTGAGCTGGAATAGCTTGCAGCACTGCTGGTTTTTAGGTCTTCAGCCCTGGACTGGAATCTATTCCAACTTTCTGGAAATTCTCAGCCTCCAAAATCATGTAAGCCAATTCCTCTTAGTAAATTACTTTAGGTCACAGATAGATTATAGATAATGTCTCACCTACTTTTCTTGTTGCTGTCTGACACCCATAAGTTAAAGGAGGAAAGGTTTATTGCAGCTCAGAGTGTGTAGAGATTTCAATCCATAGTTAGCTGGCTCCAAAGCATTGTGGCATGGCAGAGGAGAAACAGTCCATGGCATGGCAGTGAGAAGGCAGGAAGCTGCAAACAGCAAAGCAGCAACAGCAGCCTGCCTTCCTTCTCTCCCTTTACATTCCGTCCAGGCTATAAGCCTATTGATTGGTACCACACACATCCAGGGTGGACCTTCCCATCATCCACACCCAGAACTATGCTAAACTGATCAGTAGATTAATTTAGTATCACACACCATTAATTGCAGTATTATACCCTAGACAGCCAGTTTAGAAGAGCCCCACCTATGAGCACATGTGGCTTTGGGGGGGACACCTGGATACAAGTCATACCAGATAGATGATAGAATGATAGATAGATAAATAGATAGACAGACAGACAGATGATAGACAGAGAGATAGACAGATATCCTGTCAGTTGTGTTTTTGTGGAGAACCCAGGCTAATGCATTCCTGAATATTTCTCGTATTTGTCTTGCCTTTTTCATCATTGCTTCTTGCAGATTCACCTTCTCTCTCTTGGACTCATGGCATCAACTTCTAGCACAGTGGTTCTCAAAACCTTGACCAGTGGCATCACCATGCCCCAGCCACATTTCACTGGACACCTCATTTAAAAGAATATCCAAGTTGGAAGGCTCCAGGAATGTGACTTTTCTGAATTGTTTGCTTTATTAGCTAAAAATATGAAAGTAGATAAATTACAGCTCGTTGAGATCCCAATTCATCTTTGTGCTCCTTCCTCTGTAAATACTACTCAACTCTGTTCCAGAATTAAAGTGACTCAAGGCACCTGTGTTCATTAGACACACGCTTTGCCACCTTTCTGTTGCATTTCCAAAGTTTCATCTGCTTACTCAATGTAATTTAGACAGATGGAAGGCAATGCATCTTTTGTTCTTTTTCTATCAACAAGGCTTTGCACATAACTAACTCTAACTGTTTTTAGGACTTCTGCCACATCATGAAAATATTGCATAATAACATTTCTACTTCATTAAAAAAATCAAACCCTCAACAAATGTTTAAGCCCTGAGAAGCATTTAGAATCAAGATTTAAATATACACCTGAAAACAGTGGTAGAAAGGAACTTGAATCATTGCTTATGTGGAGGGTGGTCAGGGAAAATGGGCTGTTGGCAGTGGGTAGGACTCACAGTGGCTGCCTCCAAGGATGGACACGTTGAGGTTTGAGTTGAAGCCACTGATAACTTTGCTAGGAGGATTGCAGTCCAGGCAAGGAGCTGTCAGACTATTCCTATTCTTTTAACTGGAGGAGCTTCCAGAGACCCCAGTAGCCTGCCCAACTACTGAGATCCCCAAAGGGTGAGAAGAAGTCCAGGCATTAGGACTTTCTAAAGACCCCCAGTGAATGCAATGTAACTGAAGTTGAGAAACTTTATAGAAAGTTGTCTGATCACATGACTCACCTGCGGCTGTTTCACTGATGAATCATTTCTTTTGACAAAGAAGTCAGAAAGTTTTTCAGGGAAGTGCTTCTTTGCTGATTTCTCACAAAGGCAAAGAGGCAGAAGGTTAATGATAATGCTTTTTAACTTCAGTTCATCTCACACATCAATTACTTATAGAATTGCTAGTCAGTAAAAGGCAAGAATTGATTTTTACCTTTAAATACAGATTTGAAACAAGAATTTCAATGGGAAAAACTGAGATTAGATCAGTTAGATCTTTAGTTCCTATCATCAAATGCAAATGTTTCAACAAAGATTGTTGGGGGGTTGTGT